AATTAACTATTGTGGCTTCAAGTCACTCAGAATAGCCATCTTGATACCACAAGAATGTGCTATCAATTAGCCTATCGTGCCTCCAGGAAGCATACTTTTGAATCATCCAACATAGAGGAAAATCTTTCTTGCTCCACTCTTCCAACATCTCAGGGTCCTTCTTGGTTTGACATTGATCGAAATCAATATACTCTATTTGAACACCCCAAGTGAATTCACCCTTACCTCTGCCCACATGACTCTCATCAAGGGAGATAATTGACTCTTCTTCATTCGTAAACAAAGATGTATCCCTCGAGTCAATTATCTCTTTTTCTGGAGAAAGAGTCTCATGTAATATTGAGCATGGCTCACCTTCAGCAAACAGTCCCTCTAAACACAACTCCTCATTAAGTGGGTTACTAAAATCTTGTTGCACAACTTTCTGCTTGGCAGAGTTTTTAACATCACTTGAGGAAGTGTGTTTCGTCACTCCCCTGAGTGGGAATGGCAGAGGTGGAACATAAGGAGGTGGTTTCTGATATGGTGGTGGTTGCATCTCCACCTTTGGTTCTTCCTTTACCTCCTTCACCTCCAGTGGTAGGACTAAATTCTGATGAGAAAATTGCTCTTCCTTCCTTTCTGGGATTTCATTCAACTTTTGGAGCCCTTATTGTATTTGTTCAACTCTTTGCTCTAACTCCTTTAAAGTTTCCTAAAATTTGTCCCACTCTATTTGACTCAGCTCCCAGACGAGCTCACCTTCATAGCACGGGGACCTTGGTGGATCAGAGTAGTAATAATCCTGCTCATAAGAATCAAAACCGTTAAAAGCACAAGGGGGATTAAAACTATAACTAGGTGGAATTTGTTGGTGATTATTCCAATAATAAGAATTTCCTATATATGAAGGATAATCTTCCATTAAATTTCAGAGTTGGCACACTCTTCTCAAATCAGAAAACTAAAGGAAAAGATAAACAAAAACAAACAAATGGTTAAAAGAAGTTTTTCACCGTCCCCGGCAACGGCGCCACTTTTGGTGGGTTGTCGAAGCCCCCAAAATAATTCACCATCTTAAACTGTAGATAGGATAAGTCAGGTCGATCCCACAGGGACGGGTTAAACTTCAAATAACCGGAACACGAAATTGGACAAACAAGAAAGAAAGTTGTAGAGTGTCACTCACTTGCACGAGTGGGTAAAGTCACTCAGGCAAGTGACTCTGCAGAACTGAAGACAAAGAAAGACAAATGGAACCTCACTCACGGGAGTGAGAATTCCAACTCAAGGGACTGACTCTGCAAACTAGATATTCATTCTCTTTTCCCTATGTAATCAAGTTGTAATCTTGCACTCTTTTGGTATGAATTCATGCTCATTCAGGCACTTATATATCTCTAAGTCACTTTCGATTTTTCTTAGAGGTATCTTTATCAACTCAATTAAACTATTTTCCAATGATTAATCAAGTCATAAAGTCATGAAGTTTTCAAGCCTTATATGAATGCTTATGCTAACCAAGTATATTCCTATCTCAATTAGAACCCTGGACTGTTACTTCCAAGTCATAAGTTGAAGCTAAACGATTCTGAACCTTGTTTACACTTCCGGGATTCACTTAGTTCTGTGCACAATCAATCAAATGGCCAATTTAATCAAGAGGTAGATGAAAGCTTTAACTTCAAAACACAAAATCATCCGAATGCATTCACAAACTTAAGCTACATAGGTTCCAGAGAATGAAATCTAATTAACTACACATACAAACTACAGAAAATATAAGAAAAGAAGGAAAGCATTGAGAAGAAGCAAATCTGGATGGCTGAGCAACAGGTCACTCGCCTAAGTGACTTTTGTCACTCAGGCGAGTGAGGTCTGTTACTCCTCTTATTCTGCTACTGGACTTCTTCTTCCTTTGGAGTTTTCTCCCCTCTCTGCTCTCTTCTTCTCTCTCTGTTGTGTTTTTGTGTGTTGTATGTCCACTCAGATCCCCTTTCATGCTGGGAATGCAGCACCTTCATTTATAAAGTTTTGAAGCCGGTTCTTCTTCCAAGATAGCCTCCCCATGCTTGTGAATTATTTATTCCTCCCAATGCTTTGTGTCTTGAATCCGAGAATTGACTGGTCTCTTGCCCTTCTCCAGCACTGGTATCAGCTGCAACATTGATCATCATGGGCGGTTGGGAGTCTAACCAAGGGGACAAGCATGCCCTTGGATGGGACACACCCATTAAATTGTGTATTGGAGATATCTTTTACCAGCTTAGCAAAATTTGATTTCAGCATCCTAATTTTTGTTCCTAAAGCCCCTCTTTTCCAGCAGTTATGCACTTAGGTCCTTACCTATACAAAAACACAAAACTAGTTAAGCAAAATGAACTAATTCTAAGAAACACCCCTAATTCTCCATTAATTTCAGAGTAGATTGTAATGCTTTTTGTGTAACAAATTAACCATTATCAAAGGACTAAGTTGAAACACATAAGACGACTATAATTATCGATGCCGAGTAACAAAATCATGTTCAATGAAACCATATATACTTTCATAGTTGATAAGCCCAATGAAAAACATATATTTTCGAGCAAGCAAGAACTAGAGTCCTCAAAACAGTGTATCAGACCCGAAGTCTCTCTGACTTCAACGAGTGCGAGGAGTACTATTTGTGGAGCCTCAAATCTTAGGCGAGAAAACACACAAAGAGTGTCAAATCTATGTTAGTTAGCTTCTTTTTAGGCCTACACTTAGAATGCCAAACTTACACAAAGAATGACAAACTTAAAGGTCTACAGTTACTTGAAAGAGCAACCAGTTTAGAATGAGTTTTAAGAGGCAGAAACTATGAAGGAAAAACATATCGTATCAGAAAAATTAACTATTCACTCTCATCAATGCGCTTGAATCGTAAATGAACTTGAGCTGATACATTGCAATTGAAAGACACGAGTTATCCGTGGTTGAAGAAATCATACAAAAATATGATGAGAATAAAACAAAGCATAATTGAGTTTCTAATTAGAAATATTAGCAGACAATATTGAGAGAAACACCACAGAGGTTGGATGTATTCTAAGTATGTAGCCACTGTCCTTAAGACAATAATTGTCTCACTACTTTGCAAAATTGGGTTTGATTGGAAATTTGTCTCTAGGATACGAAGAAATATTAAAAAAAAGAATATGACGAGAATAAAACAAAGCATAGATGAGTTTCTAATAAGAAATATTAACAAACAATATTGGGAGAAACACTGCAGAAGTTGGATGTGTTCTAAGCATGTAGCCACTGTCCTTAAGACAATAATTGCCCCACTACTTTGCAAAATTGGATTTGATTGGAAATTTGTCACTAGGATATGAAAAAACACAAGAACATGCAACTTTGTAATTATTTTATGTTATTTAAAAATTTAAGAATGCAAAAAGACTTATGTAATTCAGCATTAGTTTACCTATATATAGGCAAACACTAACAAAATTATTATTCACTGAAATGACATGAATCAAGGTATATAACCTTTAAGTTTACAGCAAGTCATGGCAAGTTATCACAAAAAAATTTGCAATTTTAAACTTGGTTTCATCCATTATAATGTTTTATTATATTTATATCGCAAACTAATTCCCTAACAGCCATTCATGAGTAAATGAAAACGTTGCCAAAGCGTGCATTGGCTTTTGATAGGACTTTCTGGATTAGTATAAAATGGATCTTTTTTTTTTTTTTCTCTTTGTCCCGCCAACTTGTCACTAGAATGAACAAGAAACAAAGAGTTCAGGATTATTACTAACAAACATATATTGACAGCCCTATACAGAAAGTATAACTGCAAAAATGAAGAGAGGACTCTGTTAACATGATGATGCTAAGTACAGGTTATTTTCAGGATCAAAATAGAACAAGAAATCACTTCAACTTCTCTCTATTTATTGTATGAACTTATACAGATGTCAGGTAATTACATGGCAAGAAAGTGCTCTCTTCTACTCAAAAGAGACTCAATGGGCATAAAAAGTAACAATTTCAAGAAGAACTAGCAGCCTCAAGCAGATTCTCTAAACAAACCTAGTTGTGGATTAGATACTTGAGAAGCCTTTGGCAGTGTCAATAAGTGCTTCTAGGATTGCATCCATCCTATCAGAGCGAGTTTCTTTGAATTCCATCTCTTTATAATGTAAAGCCTTTTTGCAAATGCTTTCTTTCCAAATGAAGAATTAGGCTCCATTTGGACAAGAGTTTTAAAAAGACTTTTAAGGCTAAAAAGTCTGTTTAGAGTTTAAAATGCGTTTGGACAAAATAATTATAGTCTTTTCTAAACATCAATTTGAAAAAAAGAAGGTTTGAAATAGACTTTTTAGAAAATAGGTAGGGGGTATTTTTTAATTTTTTGAAACATTCTTTTTAGTTCCGTTCGCGGGTCATAATCCGGGTCGAAAGCGGGTTATAAAAAATCGGGTCATGAATATCATTAACAAGACTAAAAAAAAAAAAGGGGTGCGTTACACGCGATGCACGGTTCCTTCCCTTCCCATCTTTTCCTCACTGCTCACTTTATTGTCGGCCCACTTTTTTTAAAATTTTTATTTATTTTCAGTTCTATTCTATTTTTTCAAATGATTATATCTTTTAATATATAAATATTTAGACAACGTGTTATATATCAAATTAATCTACGCGACGAGATCTTTCTATTAAGAACCATTGTTAATATTTTTAGAATTAAAAATTTCATTCAAATTTATATATCAAAATCACTGTATATATTGTTTAACTATTATGTATATGAAAAGGTAAATTATTTTTTTACTAAAAATGTAGTTTTGAAAAAGATTTAATCCAAATGGCTTTTTCATATTTTTAATTCGTAAAGGGTTTTGAAAAATTCTTGTCCAAATGCATTATTTTCCAAAAATTACTTTTTCAACTTTTGTTTCAAACAAACTTTTTTGAATAACTTTTCAAAACTCTTGTCCAAATGAAGCCTTAGTTAAGAGACACCAAGATCAAACATTAGAAGAAATTTTTCAAAGAGAAGAAAGCTCTTCAGAGCAATCTTACCCTTAAGAGGAGGGGGTAAGAAAAAAAACCCTTGAGTACAGGTTATTTTTGTGGATGAGCCACATTACTATTTACCATCCACAACCACCGGTATCAACCAAAATTTTCCATACATAATAATCCCCAGAGCCAAAATTTAGTTCATTCATATGAAAAATTCCTCCTCACCACCATCATATCATCTTCCTTCTGCTATCGCAGCTTCTTTCAAAAAACGGTTAATACTTAAATAACCAGTTTCAGAGGGCAAGGAAACAGAGAGAGCCAGCCAATCATAATGAATTCCACTGTTCAAGATTCCGGGATTTCGCCTGAATTTCGTCAAGAAAACAACATTCCCGGCATTGATTCCGTCGCCGCTCTTCCATTCCTGCCACCGCTCCGACTTAATTACGCTTCTATCAACTGCGGAGACCACCAGTTGACCACCATGGCGCAGTGCACACCAAGACGCGTCTCCAATAAGAGACAATCTCCTTCTGATTTTTCTCCTGAACAACCTTCTTCCAAAAGGGCCGCCACCGCCCAGCAGCCATCTTCCTCCGCAGGCGGTTCCTCCGGCGGCCAGCTCCTCCAAAACGGATTCACTAAAATCCCACTTTCATCTACTGGTCTGGGTCGGACTCTTTCTGCTCCAATTCCCACCAAGAATCTCTATGATCAATTCTCAGAGGGTGCTTTGACCAATTCTCTGATCCACAATCCCTCGCCGGAGAAGAGTTCTGGGGTTAATTCTGTGCCCGTTCATTTGCCGCCGTCTCAGCAGCCTCAGAGACCTCTTTACCGTACATACTCTGAACCCATTCCGGCGGCATACCAATCGGTTGCAACCTCTGCCAGCCCAAGACCTCCGGCAGCTGGACACGGAATTCAAGAAAGTCCTGATGCTAAGGTGTTTTCTTTGTTCTTGATACATTCTTCAGACTATTAAAGTTTCTCCATTTTTCCATCAAAGTTGTCATCTTTATTTCTTGCGAATTTAACTGCCTTATTGATCCTGTGCTGTTAATTTTGCAGAGATTCAGAAGAATGAAGGATAGACTGAGAGAGATGAGTAAATGGTGGAATGAAGTCATTAAGGAAGGTGAAGAGGAAGATGAATCTGGCTCTGATAATGATGATCATCACTGCCCACCAAAGGTAACCTAATAATTGATCATAAACTTTCTAAAAAAAAGTCATTTCTTCAATCCATTTTGCTTTTCTTGAATCTATTTGCAATGTCATAGATTCATGCGTTCTGATTAGTATGTCGTCTCTGATCTTTCCTTTTGTTCTTGGGATTGTTTGGATAAACTTTTTGTAAAATCCGAAACAGATTTCTGTGATATTTCTTTATTTGATTTAGTTCTTGATTATTTTCGGATTGAACAGGATGAATGTGAAGCGAATCAAGGGACTGAAGCGAGTGAAAATGAAGAAGCTAGTCATCATGATCAGGAAGCTGTGTGGGTTGAGAGGAAAGGGGAGCTCCTGATTCTGCATTTCAAGTGTCCCTGCAGTAAATCTTATCAAATTCTTCTATCTGAGAATAATTGCTACTACAAGCTTTCATCTTTCTGATCTCACAATTCATAAAGCATATATCCTGATCATGTTCATCTTTACAGTACACACAAATAGAAAGAGATAGTCAGATAGATTCCTGGAATTTGTAATTCTCATTTTCTTCTTAGATGTCCAATCAAATGGAAGTCTTTTCTTTTCTGTCTGCTGTTTTTGATTCAGATTCTGTTGTTCAAAAGAAAGAGAGAAGAGTGTTGTTGGGAATACAGTTTTATTCAGGGGATTTTTAGTTGTTCACTTGTAATGCTAAGCCTACCATTCATATTTGTTTCCAGTTTCCACTGATTACTACAATTCAGTTGATATGCAAAAAATTGCAGCCTTTTCTACTTCCTTACTGTGTTTCTCTATTACTTTTTCTGTCACCAACGGAGGTACAAACGATTCTTATTTTGGGACAGAGGAAATTTTCATTTTAGGAACATTCTGTAACAACTTAAAGATTTTCATAATTCTGTAGATTTTATAAGCTTTCAGCCTTGCTGTTTTGGTTAATGTATGGTGGAAAGTGGATTACAAACTGGTCCTTAGTTTGAAAACAGGGCATATTTATTGATCGCATTCTGGAAATTGCAAATATTCTTTGCTGAGAAATGCTGGAATTAAACTCGGGAATGGCATCAACAAAATGGTGGTAGGAAGGAGATGGGGCAAAAATCAAATTCTTTTCCCATTGAACCAGCAGAGTAAAGTTATAATCAGCTTTCTTAAAAAAATTTCTACCACAAAGTTTTACCACCCATAATGTATTTCAACACTCTCATTAGCTTAAAAAAAGGAAGGAAAAAAATAACTTCTATTTGAAGATTGTAAATAACTGGCTATTTCTGTACTTGTTAAGACATCTAAAATCTGAAAATATACCTGGAAGACTGTAAACAAAAGAGTAAAGAGTAGAAAAAATCATGTATAGAAATGTATTTCTACACTCTCATTAGCTTCTCCTGTCCACTGTCCACTGAGCAGTGTAAAAAAAAAAGGATATCCGCCCAGTTTTTCCCTTCTTTCCAGCAAGAAAACGAGGATGAAAAGGACCGCTAACGTCTTATATACTTTACTGCAAACCTAGGTTAAGAATTAATGATGTGCGCAGAAAAATTTGAGAATTACATTCTACATTTGTACAAGCTCCTTTTCACCACTCTAAAAGATGTTACTACGGCGGCAGTTGCTCCAGAGCAGTCCCCAAAACCATAAAAGCAAAGACAAGGCATCGTCATTCATGTGCAAACTCTTCTCCATTGATTTAAGACTTGTCAAAGGGCGGTAGTTTTGAAGCAATCATCAGAAAGAAAAACCATCTCATTCGGTTTCAAGTTCAGCTCCAAATTTCTCCAACCTGTCAGCTTCCTTGCGGCATGATTGATGGATCCATCGTCTTCACTAGCATGTACCTGTCTTTGATTGAACCTGAAAGGAGAAACGTCACCATTATGGGTGGTAAAACTACTTCTACCTCTTAAACTAGAAGTTTCTTCCATTCATCTTAGCAATCTTCCTCTTCTTTCTTTCTTAGCAGTAGGTGAATTCGTTCTTTGTTTCTTCATATTCAAACCTACACCTACACAGTTGAACATGAATGGTTGGGATAGAGAACACTATCTCATAACGTTGCAACAGAATGGTAATTCCAATGGTTCTTCTTCCTTACCAACATCCACCATTTTGAAGCACGTGTGTTCATTCCTGTATTCCTCTATCATACGTTTTCTCTTCTTCACTTCAAGGTATTCCCTCAGGTCGTCCCCTTTGAAGATGTTAAGCGAAGGATCTTCACCATCTCCATACAAGGTGTACTTCCTGATAGAAAGGAAAATATTCAGCATATATCTGTAAGGAAAGGATTTGTATATCTCTGTAATTGATAGCCTTATAGTGTTAGAGATAAGATCAAATCATATAATTAGTTAATGACTGATTCTGTACATCTCTTTATATACTCTTTGTAATTGTAATACAACACATACAGTGTAATTGTAATTGTAATTGTAGTTCCACTCCACTTCCTAATCCTGCTTATCATCAATGGTTGCAAATTGACTCCATTGTCCTCTCATGGATCCAAGCCACCATATCCACTGAAATCCTTCAAGCGATTATCACTCCAAATCGCTTTCTAACTGCTTATGAGGCTTGGACTACTGTTGAAAAGCTTTTTCAAGATCACACCGGCTCTAGAGCCCTTCACCTCAAAATGCAATTTCTTAATCTGGAAAAGGGGGAACTCTCCATCAATGACTATGTCCATCGTTTAAAAACAAAGGGCTGACTCTCTGAAATGCTGTTGGTAGCACCATTTCCGACTCCGATCTGGTTTTATAAATTCTCGCCGGCCTCCCAAATCGCTACCTGCTTGTTTCCACGGCTATATCCACAAAAATTCCGCTTCCTTCTTTTGTTGAGGCTAGTGCACTTTTATTTCTTCATGAAATTCATCTCCAACAAAACTCTAATCCTCCTCCTTCTTCATCCTCCACTGCTCTTGTTGCAGCAACTCACCGGAACCTTCCTCTCAAAAGGTCCTCAAAACAATGCTCCCGGTGGACGCGGTCGTGGTCGCAACCAGGGTTTCCGTGGACGTGGACGTGGACGAGGCCGCGGACGCCAACCTTTCTTCTCTCCCAATTCGTTCTCCTATGGTGCTTCACCAACTCAGTATGCCACACCTCGACCGCGTGGTAATTCCATCTTGGGGGCTTCTCCGTTCAATCCCCCTCTTCGTTGTCAATTATGCATGCAATTTAATCACTCTGCTCATGACAGTTATCAGTTCAATCAACCTGCATTCTATGTTGATACACTAATAAATCTGTTGCCTCATCTTCAATTCCTCCTTCTGTGGATCCAAACTCGTATGTCGATACCGGAGCTTCGAATACCATGACTCCTCATGGAGGTACACTCTCTCGTTTAACACCTTATACTGCTATCAACGAGTTCTTGTTGGTGATGGGAATTCTCTTTGCCTTAAATCTATTGGCATGCTTCCTCCTGGTTACTTTTGATTTCCACATGTTTTTCATGTCTCGCATCTCTCTAAAAATTTAATTTCTGTTCGTCAGTTCACTATTGATAATAAATGTTCTCTTGAGTTTGATCCTACTGGATTTTCTATGAAGGACCTTTGGACGAGGAGGCTCGCCTTCGTTGCAATAGTTTCGGTGGTCTTTATTCGTTTCCCTCCACAGCTCTACTTCCGACTTCCAGTCCATCTGCCTTAGTTGCTGCTCCGTCTGCGTCTCTTAGGCACAACCGTTTGGGCCATCCGAGCCCCTCTGTTCTGTCCAGTTTGTCGCGTCAATTTCTACGTTCCAGCGTCGGTCCAAATAAATGTTCTCGGGTAGTTTGTCATGCCTGTCAAGTCGGCAAGCATAAACGGCTTCCCTTCTCAGCGTCTATCTCCACAACTAGTCGTCCTTTTGAGTTGATCCATAGTGACTTTTGGACGTCACCTCAATTATCATTTTCTGGTTTTAAATATTTTGTAATTTTCTTAAACGATTTTACTCATTACTTATGGCTTTATCCAATGAAACAAAAGTCGGAAGTTTATACCAAATTTGTTCATTTCTTTTCTTATGTTTTAAATCAACATCACACCTCCATACAATCTTTCCAATGTGATGGTGCTGCTGAATATGTCTCTCGCATAATTTTCAAAATTTTCTGAACTCCAAAGGAATACATCTTCGCATCTCCTATCCGTATACTCCCCAACAAAACTGCAAAGCCGAATGGATGAATTGTACACTTCTAAATATGGTTCGAACACTTCTTGCTCAAGCTCATCTACCCCCTGAATTTTGGGTTGGAGCCATTAATACTAGTGTCTATCTTATCAATCGATTACCTACTACTAGTAATTCTGGAGTCACTCCCTTTTCAGCTTCTTTATCAAACTCCTCCTGACTACTCCAATCCCAAAGTGTTTGGTTGCTCTTGTTTTCCTAATCTCTCCCCTTTGGCACAAAATAAACTCAACCCTCACTCCATTGAATGCATTTTTTTAGGTTACCCGGACTCCGACAAAGGGTATTGATGTTATGATCCTCTCTCTAAAAGAGTCTACGTAGCTCCTCATTTTATATTTGATGAAAATTCATTCCCATATCTTTGACTGTTTCCAGCTCCAAACCTTCCCCATACATATTCGAACCCCCTCACTATTCGCTCCAAAAAATATTCCTTTGCATCCTGTGTCCTTTCGACGAAATGCTCCTCCAACGCCCCCTTCTTCCTCGCCAAGTCCACCATCAAACCCTACTACTTCTTCCTCTCCCAGTGTGTCTCTTAATCTTGATCCACATACTCCATTACTTTAACATGACTCTTCTGCTTCCCCTTCACCTCCTCGCTGTCATCCTATGACTACACGCACCCAAGATGGCACTCGCCGTCCCAAAGTCATTCGTTCTCTTTCGGCTGAAACCACTCCTTTCCCTTCCTTTACTTACACTCCTTCATTTTTTACTGAGGCCAACAAATACTCTGAATGGCGCGAAGCCATGTCTGCCGAATATAGTGCTCTTCTTCAAAATCAAACTTGGACTTTAATCCCTCCCCCGGTCCATGCCAACATTATTGGCTCTAAATGGATTTATCGGGTCAAATTAAAAGCTGATGGCTCCCTTGATCATTGTAAAGCGCGTTTGGTTGCCTAAGGCTATAATAAAAAACCTGGCCTTGATTACGATCAATCATTTAGTCTGGTGGTTAAACTCGTAACAATTCAGACTGTTTTATCTATTGCTGCTTCTCGTAGATGGCCTGTACATCAATTACATGTGAAGAATACATTCTTACATGGTCATCTTAATTAAATTATCTACATAAAAAAGCCTATTGGTTTTGATCATCCAGATCATCCTCAATATGTCTGTCGATTGAACAAGGCTCTTCACGGCTTAAAGCAAGCCCCTCGGGCATGATTTTGATCGTTTTACTACTTTCATTCTCAGTCAAGGTTTCAAATGCAGTTGTGCTGATTCATCTATGTTTGTATTCAAGTCCGGCCCTGACATGGCGATCTTGCTCTTGTATGTCGATGATATTTTATTAACTGCTTCGTCATATGTTTTGCTTAATTCTCTCATGTCATCTTTAAAATGAGCATTTGCTATGAATGACCTATGTCTTACTAGCTACTTTTTGGATATTTCTATCAGCAAGCTTCATGATGGATGGTTCTTAAATCAACATAAATATGCAGAAGATTTGCTCACTCGTAGTAATCTTTCAAAAGCTAAACCAGCAGCTACTCCCCTTGCACCCGGTTTTTAGTTCTCTACAGAACCATCTCCTCCATTCCACAATCCTACTCTT